TTTTTTTTTTTGTGAGTGATTTGAAAAAAAGGAACTGAAGATAACTTTTGAAATTTGTAGACCGAACAATTGTGGACAAGATGATATATTTATTTCTTATTACTGCTACTAAAAGCACTGATCAATGTAGTGAACAGTGTATTTGAAAAATTCTTCAGGCTTCAAACTTACAAGATTGTTGTGAAACTGTTCTTTCTAGCTCGTAGTAATCTTTTTTATTCAGGTGCAACAAACGTCCAATTAAACGAATCTAAATATTACTAATTTTTTTGAAACCTTCAATCACATCACCTTTTTATTAACTTTTTTTTTTGATGGCTAGGAAACAAGTTACATTAGCAGCAATGATATTAGACACAAATTTTTGACAGCAAAAGGAATAATAAGTATTTTTACATGAAAAAAATTGGCAACTGGTTAAGCATATGGATTAGAAGACTGTTTTTGTCAAAAGAAAAATTTATTACGGTCATCTTTTTGTTTTTCAATGAATGTCGGTTAGCTTAAAGCAAAGTAAACTAAAAAAAAAAACACGTTAAGATTAACAAATTAATTGTGAGTGTACTGTTTGAAATATAGCTGAGAAGAATTTTTCCATTTTACAAATTTTAAAAACTTTACCATATCGTGCCTGTACATTAGACTAATAAACGATGGAAGAGAAGAAGCCAATTTTCTTTCAACTGCTGCAACATACGTATTGGCGGGTACTTTGCAAGTTATTTCTTCCCAATTTTCACTACAGCTTACAAAGCTTATCAAACCTAAGGTAGGAATTGTAATATACAGCAAAACACTAGAAAGAACTAAGTTTATTTTTGCTTTTTCTCTTTTGTTTTTATTTTTTATTTAGAAAAATCATTAAAAGTAACAAAAAAAAAACTTTTTAAGTTATAAAAGAAGAGTTTAAGACTATTCAAGAATCTTATAATACCTGTTTCTGTAAAGGCAATACACGGTGAAGGAAAAGAATATGAGATATTTGAAGTTAGTGCAGTATAAAGTGCATAATCGGCTGGTGTACCGTCAAAAAATTTTGGATTTTCATCATCTTGATCAATGATAATACCCAAAATACGTTTACGAATCCTGGTATGATCATCGATAATTCGTTCGGTATCTGCTAGATTTGTTATTCCGAAAATGTATTCTGCAGTAAAGTTCAACAGTTATTTGTTGCTTTTAATTTTAGTTTATAGATACGCAAAACTATTTTTGGTATTTTCATAAAAAACTTTTTGCTGTACAGAATATATGAAACTTTCAATCATTTTTATCAACCAAAATTATTCAGCAACTTTTTGTTTCTGTTTACCCTAAAAAAAAATAGTTGAAAAAAGCTATTTAACATCGGCACCAGTAATAACAGCAACAACGAAAACTTCAAAATTTCGGTCAAAGAACAAAACAGAACCTACTTGAATAAATCTTCTGTTCTAGAGCATCCACAATACTTAATAGTCTTCCATTGAAAAGTAATTTGCATACCAAATCTGCTTCATATACTGTATTTTTAGATTTAATATCTGTTTCAGTGTTTAATCGCTTAAACAAGCTATAACTTCAACAAAAATTTACTTGGATATGAAGTGAACAACAGTAATGGTCTACAGTTAAACGAATCACCTTAATATCGTAGACACAATAGTTTGTGGAGTTATCACTAATCCACAGATACAGCGGATCACTGACATATTCATATTCATTCTTTAAATTTTTTTTTAGACAATTATATGAAGTAACTAAAAAAAAGCAAGGTAAGATAAAGCAATAAAAGAGATATTATTTATTTTACCAACAAATATTTTCGTATTTATAACAAATGTGTAATAGCCTTCTCCAGTTTTTAAAAGGAAGAAGAAGAAAGACGAAGATATGAAGAGGAATAAAAAAAGCCAAAAGTGTTTATAGAACCAAAAATCCCAGCTTTTTTTTTTCATTTTCTTTAGTTTTATTTTTACCTTATTTTAATATTAACTTGAGTGCGTACTGGCTTTATAAATCTCGACTTATTTGTCCTCCCTTTCAGTCTGTCTTATTTCTTAATCTTTTATCAAATTTGCTAAAATTTTCGTGCAGGACGACAATAAAAATTACCAAGTTTCTAGAACAAATAAATAAACGTCATTGAAATTTCTTTTGGTATTTATTCTAAAAAATTTGTTTTTCATAGACTGATATGTTAGTTGTATTTAGATAAATCATCAACTACTGAAAGCAAATTTTATAGACGTCAAAGAAAAAGGCTATAAATTAATCGACAAAAATTAGAAGCGGTCTGAAAGCTTGTCTTCTTTTTTTCTTCTTGGTTTTCTTATAAAATTAAATGTAAGGTTAAAATATTGAAAACTTTATTGAAAACCAGATGAAACTAACTAACAGACATGGTAATATGTTCTAAGATTCATTGCTCTTTGCGCCTGAAAAAATAATCTAAAATTGATAGAGGCACATAAAGACATAGAAAACTGTGAATAATTTTTAGACAATAGTGAATCGAATAAAAGTATACAAAAAAAAAACAGCTTTTTTTGTTCATTTTTGCTAACCAACTTTTTTTTGACATTTTGTTAATACACACGATTAACCTCAGCTGCAAAACGTGTTAAATTTTGCATCTTATCTGGTAGCGCAGCAGTTTTACAGGTAATACTATTTAGTGGTTTCAGATCTGATGCTTCGATGGTAACTGAAAGTATTGTTGTCAACCAATTGATAACCTCCAAATAAGTATTGCTGTAGCGGTTTACTTAT